ACCAGACACACCCACCCGCCCTCTGCAACACTGGACATAGCAGATCCAAGGGCACGCAAGGTGCTCGGGCTGCTGTTGGCGCCTGCTCGCTTCCTGTCACCTGATACAGCAGCAGAGACAGCTCCTGGATTCCCCACAGAGCTATTAAGCCAGGACTGTGTCTACCTCTTGAATTGGCCCAGGTCAGGGAGCGAGGCAGCTGGTAGCATCCTTGGCTGCTGCTGAGAACACGGGAAGCCAGCAGGTGGATGAGCCCCTGACACGCGGGGCCCATGGTTCCAGGGTTTGCTGCTTTCGTGCTGAGTCGGCATTAGGCTGCAGAGATGATATTTTTTCTTAGTGTCTGATGCATTTTATGAAACATGCACACACATACACAACCGTATTCCATCAGCGAATGCACCTATTTGGACTCTGTCTCATTGGCATCGTGTGTGCTACACCCCTGCCTTAGCTTCAAGAGATCATGACAGCCACCAACACAAGAGCCCCACCTGCCTGCCCTCGCACTGGGCCGGGCGCTGCTGGGGCATCCCGGCCCTGATCTATCGTCGGCTTTAACACCTTCCGCTTTAGTGAGAGACTGCCCGGACTCTCTGGCAAGGCCAAAATCCAGGTTGTGAGCACATGTCTGGGCCAATCAGCGTGGGCAGAGGAGCAGGGCTGGTAAGAGCGTGGCAGCCCCTGGGAAATCATAGTGAAAGACGGCAGGAGTTGGAGGGGCCAGTTTCCAGAAACAGGGCTGGCGGCAGAGCTGGATAGTAACTGAGTAAACTTGGCCTCTGAGCGGATTGGCTGGTGGCCCAGGAAGTGCTCTTCCCTCCGGGCCCCCCCTCCTGCCTCCGAATCGCCCTTCCCCTTCCCAGGCCTGCTCGGTGACTCGGAGGAAGCCATAGAAGTTCTCACGGAGCGTGCCCGAAGGTTACACAAAGCTGAAAAGAGTGACTAACACCAATGTAGTTTGTGACGAAGTCAAGATTCCAGAACGTTGAGTCTAAACTCAAAAAAGTGACAGGAAATCCTGCCTTGACCTTACCAATGGGGCTGAGGGCGGAGGGTAGGGCTGCGAGGGGCCTGGGAGCTCAGACATTTGAAGAAGCAGCTGCTGGGTCCTCAGCCATCTGCAGCGTGATGAGGAGCTGGCTTTGCTGCCTGGCTCCGGGGTTAAGCTGGAGGAGGGGGAACGAGGAGCCAGGAGGGCAGCCCCCGCCGCAGGAGGGAGGCTGCCTGTGACCTGCCCAGGGGGCCAAAGGAGACTTTGTGGCCTAGTGAGTGTGAGTTTGGCCCGGGGGGAGAGGGGGGGCTGGTGCAACACAGGGAAGGGCCTCAACCTGAACAGACTAGGAAAAATTATTTTTTGGGTCAGAAGTTAGACTCGGGTTCCTTCCAGATAAGCACGGACCGCTGAGGCCTCCTTGCCTGTGATGAGTTCTTGCTCGTGAAGAGGCTACCTGGGTGGCTGTGAGTAACAGGAAGCGGGGAGGTTGACGAGAGTTGACGACTGCGGGTGAGGTGTCGCTTCTCCCGGGTTCTGCCAGGGGAGCCTCATGTTGCAGAAGTCCATGCGCTAAGGTGTGGTTGGTAAGAAAAACAAGGCCCGCGGTTGACTCATTTAGGACAATTTGCCAAAGGTCGCACCTCAGAGTACTAGTTCCAAAGGAGAGTAAACTGAGGGAAAAAGGCTCGCCGGCAAAAAGAGTTTGGGAAATGCTGGATTAAGTAAAGAGTCCATATTTATGGCAATACTGCTCAGAGGCCCTTCTTATGCTAACATGTTCTCCAAGACGGGATACACACTTACCTCCAATTATTGCCTGTAATTTACTTTAAAAAGGAAGGAAGGGTGTTTGGAGCGGCAGAAATAGTGTTATGTCTTTATCAAGTCTTGTTTTGTTTTTCTCTTTGCAGATATCCAGGAAGACAACATTCCCGGCCTCTCGCCGTGAAGACCCAGCACCAAGGTAAGGCCTGGGGCCCGGGCCAGTGCAGGCAATGGGGTTTTTTTCTGCGACACTCCTGTATTGACTGATGAGGTCCTCTGGGGACATGTGGTCTCTTGCTCTGGACTTTGGTTGCATGGGACAGAAACCAGCTGAAACTGGCTGAAGCAAAAAAGGGCAAAAGGATTGGTTCGTGGACGCCAACCTGCAGGAACTGGCCTCAGGAATGACTGGAACCCAGGACTGGGACCCATCAGACCACTCACCTCTTCTCAGAGCATTTTTACCTTCTTGCCTCCTACAGACCCACCTCTCTGTGAAGGGGGAGGGGGGGGGCCACAGGCAGCATCTCAGTTGCTGAGATGCTCGTAGGGCAGCTTAGTTGGTTAGAGCATCGTCCCAATATGCCAAGGTTGTGGGTTCGATCCCCCATCAGGGCTGGTGAATCAACTGGTGAATGTGTGGATGAGTGGAGCAACAAATCGATATTTCTCTCTCTCTCTCATTGATAAATTAGAAAAAAATTTTAATTAAAAATTTTTTAAAAAGAAAGGGAATTTTGACATGTGCTACAACGTGGATGAACCCTGAGGGCATTGTGCTCAGTGAAATAAGCCAGTCACGAAAGGACAAACACTGTGATCCACTTACATGAAGGTCCTGGAGTTGTCAAATTCGTAGAAACAAAGCAGAATAGTGGTTGCCAAGGGCTGGGGGGAGGGGAGTTTAGTGCTTAATGGGGACAGAGTTTCAGTTTGGGACGTGGAAACATGGTGGAGATGGATGCGGGGATGTTTGCACAACAATATGAATGTACTTAATGCCATAGAACTATACGCTAAGAATGGTTAAAGTGGTGAAATTGTTGTGTATATTTTAATCACAGATTTTTTTTAGCAGGCTTAGCGTGAGATGAGAACCAGGCACAGGAAACACGTGATTTCTGGGTAGAAAGGAAGAGAGAAGCCTGAGTTAACACGTCATACCAGGGCATCAGCAGCAGGGTTCGTGCCAGGTTGTCTCGTCCAGATTTCACCCCTCGGGCTGCGCTGGACCCCTGGCCACTCCTCCTTCCCCATCACTGTCACTCCATCCAGCAGATGACAGGTAAGGTCACGCTTCTCACCTCCCTCTTGGCAGAGTAGGAAGGATTTGGGATGGAGTCTCAAGGCCTGAGTTTCGATACCTTCCCTTCCCCGGGCCTCAATTTCACCCCCAGTAAGCAAGAGGTTGCGGGGAGAGGCTGGAGAGCCCAGAGTTCCTTCTGGTTGGATGTTCCCAGCTAACAAAGCTCCTGTCTGCTGCCTCTGAGTTCATGGGCCTTGCTCGTGTGGCGGTTTCCTGTTTTTGTCCCCTCGCGTCCTCTCCTGCCCATCAGGGTGACAGATTTAGAAGTGTGGGGCTACCTTTTTGTCCAGGGGCCCACGTAGGTATGACCTGGGCCATCTGAGCTGGGCTGGAGCTGATATGTAGGGGAAGGGACAGTCTCCTCCCTCTGGACTTGCATCTGGAGTTCATGATGAATTTCATGAAATCCTCACATTACTACAAAACTGCCTCGTCTTTCTAGACATGTGGGAATTTTTCTTTTCCCTTGGTATTTTTTGGTAAAATTTAATGTGTGACACGTAACGTAACATGTAGCATATATATGTCCATTATATGCAGCAGGGTAATATGGACAGGCCTGAACCCACCACTCAACATGAGGATGAAATATGCCTGGATCGTGCATTTTTTAGTGCTTTATCACATACACATGCCTGTTCTTATTTTATGAAGCAGTTATATAGCATTTACTGCGTGCTAGGCACTGCATTTAATGCTTAAAAATATTAACAACCAGAGGGAACGGGGGTGGGGGGAGGTAGAAGAAGGTAAAGGGGGATAAGTGGTGATGGAAGGAGACTTGACTTGGGGTGGTGAACACACCATACAATATACAGATGATGTGTTATAGAATCGTACACCTGAAACCTATATAATTTTATTAACCAATGTCACCCCCATAAATTCAATAAAAATTTTAAAATATTAGCTCATTTAATTTGTTTAATCCACGCGACGGCCCTATGAGGAAGGTACTAGTATTAATCCCATTTTACAGAAGAGGAAACTGAGGCACAGAGAAATTAAGTGACTTACTCAAGATCACACAGATAGCAAGAGGTAAGCACAGCACATGTCTCCCGGTTTTTAGTGCGAAAGTTTCTCTAGGGCATATATCTAGGTGAGGGACTGGGTTTTAGGGTACAGAATATTCAAGACAATGCCTCATTATTTCCCAGAGGACTAATATATCCTCTCACCAGCAATTATGAGTTTCTGTTGACCTAAAACCTCTCCAACATTTGGTTTTTGTTTGATCCTTTAACTTTGCCAATCTGGTGGATATAAAATGGTACCTACTGTGTTTCTTTACCCTCCCCCAAGGATATTATTTATTGATTTTAGAAAGAAAGGAAGGGGGAAAGAGAGAGAAATATTGATGAGAAAGAGAAACATTGATCAGTTGCCTCCCATAAGCCGAGCCCTGGCCAGGGATCGAACCCACAACCTAGGTATATACCCTGACCAGGAATCGAACTCACAACCTTTGGGTATATGGGATGGTACCCAACCAACTGAGCCACCTGGCCAGGGCTCCACTGTGGTTTTAATTTTAATTTTCCTGGCTAATGTTGAGTTAAAGCCCCTTTTAAATTTGTTTACACTTGTTTAGTTTTCTCTGAAGCGTTCACCTGTGTCTTTAATGTAATCAAAGTTGTCAATTATTTATTTTATGATTGGTGATTTGGGGGTCCTCTTTATTAAATGTATTGGGGTGACATTGGCTAGTAGGATCATGTAGGTTTCAAGTGTACACTTCTATGATACAAGATCTGTATATTGCACAGTCTTGCTTAAGAAACCCTTCCCAGAGGGGACCCAACAGTGTGTCCTGTGAGATTTGGGGTGTCCCCAGACCTCTGGGGCTTGTAGTCATCACTGTTCCTGTGTGCCTGCGCAGCGCACCGGAATCCTGTGTGGCATCCACGTCCACAGGTGGGCACTCATCACCTCTGAACTGAGCATGCCCAAGGGTCAAGCTCTGGCCTCGCTTATCAGTTTTCTGGCTTCCTCTGCTTGGCCCCTCCCAGCCCCGCACCCCTGAGAGGCTGCCTTCCTCGTGGCTTCCCAGGAACTACTCAGATAAAGAGAGGAAATGTTGTCACCAGTTTACAAATGTTCCACTGCAACTCCAGGCCACCACTCCCTGACCTCACTATCGCCTGCAGGCCTCCTCGGCTGCAAGCCTGCAGATGCCATTTGAGATGTCCCCCTTCTGTTGCTGGCGCCTGTCTGCGGTTCTTCTTGCCCTGCTCGTCTGCCTAGGTGAGCCAGCGCCAGGGGTTCCTGACTTGGCGCGAGCCAGCCCAGGGGGTGGGCTGCCTGCTCCCCTGGCTTTGGGGGCGGGGTGCTGACCCTGAAGTCTCCGAGGCTTTGAACATAGTGGCCACCAGCGAGGGTACAGGATACTATGGCCACCTGGCTTCCCTGTGACCCTAGGCAGTAGGCGGGGGTCCTGGCCTTTTGGACCAGGTTGAAAAGCCCCACAGCTTCATGGCGTGTGGATGTGACAGGTCGTGGAGGCTAAGTGGTGGGCAGGGTAGGGGCCTGAGGAGGTGACGGGATGCTGGGGTTCAAGAGGTGAAGGCATGCCCTCGCTGGTCTTCAGATGTGACCTGGGGACCGAAGGGGGCAGCAAAGCCCTCACCTTCTGGCTATCCTCAGAGCAAAAGTGAAACCCCNTTCCCAGAGGGGACCCAACAGTGTGTCCTGTGAGATTTGGGGTGTCCCCAGACCTCTGGGGCTTGTAGTCATCACTGTTCCTGTGTGCCTGCGCAGCGCACCGGAATCCTGTGTGGCATCCACGTCCACAGGTGGGCACTCATCACCTCTGAACTGAGCATGCCCAAGGGTCAAGCTCTGGCCTCGCTTATCAGTTTTCTGGCTTCCTCTGCTTGGCCCCTCCCAGCCCCGCACCCCTGAGAGGCTGCCTTCCTCGTGGCTTCCCAGGAACTACTCAGATAAAGAGAGGAAATGTTGTCACCAGTTTACAAATGTTCCACTGCAACTCCAGGCCACCACTCCCTGACCTCACTATCGCCTGCAGGCCTCCTCGGCTGCAAGCCTGCAGATGCCATTTGAGATGTCCCCCTTCTGTTGCTGGCGCCTGTCTGCGGTTCTTCTTGCCCTGCTCGTCTGCCTAGGTGAGCCAGCGCCAGGGGTTCCTGACTTGGCGCGAGCCAGCCCAGGGGGTGGGCTGCCTGCTCCCCTGGCTTTGGGGGCGGGGTGCTGACCCTGAAGTCTCCGAGGCTTTGAACATAGTGGCCACCAGCGAGGGTACAGGATACTATGGCCACCTGGCTTCCCTGTGACCCTAGGCAGTAGGCGGGGGTCCTGGCCTTTTGGACCAGGTTGAAAAGCCCCACAGCTTCATGGCGTGTGGATGTGACAGGTCGTGGAGGCTAAGTGGTGGGCAGGGTAGGGGCCTGAGGAGGTGACGGGATGCTGGGGTTCAAGAGGTGAAGGCATGCCCTCGCTGGTCTTCAGATGTGACCTGGGGACCGAAGGGGGCAGCAAAGCCCTCACCTTCTGGCTATCCTCAGAGCAAAAGTGAAACCCCACCCAGCCGGGCGTGGCTCCTCCGCTGACCGTAGACCTGGGATCCAGGCTATCGGGGTTTGATTCCCGGTCGGGGCACATGCCCGGGTTGCAGGCTCGATCAATGACTCTCTCATCATTGATGTTTCTGTCTCTCTCTCTCCCTCCCCTTTCCTCTCTCTGAAATCAATAAAGATATATTTAAAAAAAAAAAAGTGAAATCCCTTCCAGTGGGTCAAGGGGACTATGAGGGGAAAATGCAACCATGTGCCCACCACCCTGTTTTACACAACCTGCCAGGTGCTTTTAAAGTGCTCTCTCATTGAACCTATACAACAACATTGGGAAAGGAGTTACTAGCTCATTTTACAGATGAAGAAACTGAGGCTCAGAGAGAGAAAGCACCTTGCCTAAGGTCACATAGCCGTTACATGGTGAACTCAGGATTCAAATCCAGTTCTATCTACCTGCAAAGCCCCTCTCCTGCCACTTCATTACGTACCACCATCTGGAGGCTGAGTCAGGGCACATGGGCATAGTACTAGCACAGGACACAGGATGGGCCCAGCTGGCTGGGGTTGGGGACCTTCCTGGTCATTGCTGAGAGAGAGGTGAGTGCTGAGGCTCAATCCTCATGCATCAAATTCTTCCTGAGTCTGTCACACACAGGGCAAACTACCTTCTAGAAACTCCAAAAAGGCTAAGGGAGAGTCAACACAAATATGAATCACTGGTACAATAGGTCATTGGCAGGGTGGTACCATTTCCTTTCTGACTCCCTCTTCCCCTGCCTTTTTCCTTGCTGAGCTCAAGCATCCTGAACACATAGCTGTTCCTCAAACACGCCAAGCCCCTCCCCGGAACCCTCTCCCCCAGAGCTATCTGCAGGGCTCACCCCCACCTCTTTCATGTCCTTGCTCAAATGCCATTATTTTGGTTAGGCCTGTGCTACAGTGGCCATCCCACCCCACTCCCTGTTTCCTCTCCCAGGCACATATCACCATATGATGGGCTGGATATCTGATTATTTTTTGTTCCCTTCACTAGAATGTGAGCTCTGCAAAGGTGGGATTTGGTCGCTTTGTTTCCTCCTGCAGAGCCTAGAACAGTACCAGGCACATAGCAGGGGTTCAAAAAGTATTTGAGGAAGAAAGGAAAGGAGGGAGGGGTAGGTTGAACCCTGGATCACAGGAGCTCAAAAGACACAGTCCACCTCCATCTCAGGAGGCCTTCATGGAGGAGGGCACATTAGGGCTGGGTCTTGAAGGTCAAATAGGATTCCCCTCCATGGAGAGAGAAGATGTGCATGAAGAAGACTGATCTGGATGTGATGGGTTTGAGGAAAGGCAACCAGAGGCAGGGAGACGGTCCAGGGGCAGCCTCTTCTGTCTACACAAGGCCTCAACAGGGGTCAAGGGTCAAGGAGCAGAGGGACCACCCCTGGCCTTTCTTCTTGGGTCCCACCCTCTTGATCAGACTGCCAGTGGTGGGCAGCTCCTCTGGGCAGGACAGTGGGGACATCTGCTGCCCAGAGTTTCTGTCTTCCAGGGTCTGGCGGGAACGCATTCGAGGTATACTCGTGGCCAGAGCAGCTGGTGGTGGAGCACGGAGGGTCCTATGAGATCAACTGTAGTACCAGCTGTCCCTGCCCAGATCTTGGTGGCGTGGAGACCGTCCTAAACAAGACTCTGCTGGACAAACAGCCTCAGTGGATGCAGTTCAGGTTCTTCGATGCCTCCAACGACACGGAGCTGCAGTGCCACTTCACCTGCTCTGGGGAGCAGCAGTCCGCGGTGGTCAGAGTCAGTGTGTTCCGTGAGTGCTCCACGCAGGGCCCTCCTCCCCCGGGGCGGAGCCTGTGTCACTGAGCGTTCTTGCTCCCAGCCACCCCCGTCATGACCTCCACCTCGCTGGGCTCCTGGGGTGACAAGGAGCAGTACCCAGGCCACGGGCTCAGAATCTGCTCACACCCTTTGCTGGCCTCCTTGAGCCTGCTGGCGACCCCGGTTTTGAGGCCTGCTCAGAAGAGGACTGTCCAGGCAAGGTTTATACAGTTCTAAGAGTCGCCCCCCGCCCCCACCCAGCGCTCACAGCCTCCTTCCAGATCAGCAGTAGCCCCATCAGAGCAACACCCCACATCTGGTGACAAGTAGTGGGGGAGCCATCCGGAGGGCTGCATGCTCTCTAGTGGCCCCTTCACCTCACTGAGAGGAGGTTGAGTGAGTCACCAGGTGCTTTTCTCTTCCCCTGAGGGCCCTTGGCAAGTGTGAGACCATCACGCACACACCTGCCGTGAGCCACGGAGACCTGGATAGGCCGGGTCTCTCTCAACATCTCAACACTAAGGGTACCCCTGGGTCCTCCCCATTACTGAAGTCAGTGGGTCAAATGAATAGTAAGATGTCCTGAGCCCAGCATGTTATCCTGGGGTGATGGAGGTGAGGTGTTCTGGTTCAAAGGGAAAGGCAGGCCACCCCGAGGGCCTTGTTTGATAAGGGATCAAGGTGGCCGTGAGCCTGACCCTAGAGAACGAAGGCAGGTCTGACTTCAGTTCCCACCTCTTACGTGAGAACCTCACAGTTCATAGCCCAGTTCGAGTGGGCGCTCCCTTCTAAGTCTCTCTGAACATAATTACCCAACTGTTTAATTTTTGAAATTAGTTTTTCATTTCTGGAGGGGAAGGAGACAGATGCAAACACATATATCTTTCTAGGTGGCTACACAGCTTCTGAGCCCCCCTTTTGGAGATGCCTGGCTACCTCCGTTCTTGCTCATTCCAGAAATCATCATGTTCGGCTCACTGCCACCCAGTACATCCCTCACCCTAAACTGCGATGCTCTTGGCTGGGCGGGCCTGCTGGGACGGCACCCCCATCCTAACCAGACCTCCCTACTTTCTCCCCTCAGGCCCCCCAGAGCAAGTGCTGCTGAAGCTGCAGCCCATGTGGGTGACTGTAGGCAAATCTTTCATCATTGAGTGCAGAGTGCCCACTGTGGCCCCCCTTGAGACACTCACCCTCACCCTGCTCCGTGGCAAGGAGCCCCTGCACATGCAGGCCTTCGGGAGGGCAACGGCTGTCCCAGGAGAGGCCATGATCACATACAACAGAACGGCTCACAAGGAAGACGGTCGCCACAACTTCTCCTGCCAGGCCGAGCTGGACCTGCGGTCTCGTGGTGGGGGCATCATTCGCAGAACCTCAGAGCCCCAGGTGCTTGATATCTATGGTGAGGAGGAGCCCCCCATCCCTGGATGGAGGAAGGCGGGACAGGGCACTCACTGTAGGCCTCTGGGGAAATCAAAACCTTAACCCACTGTCTGCCAGCTCAGGGGGTAGGCACCAGGGGCCCCACACCTAATCCTGAGGGTTCCCCTCTTATGCTCCCTCCTCCCTGAAGCTCTCTCTGCGTCCCCAGCATGGACCTGGACTAGTTGCTTGGCCATTAGTGAGCTGTTGACCTTGACCAACCTCCTCTCTCTGGCCTTGGCTCTAGAACTCTACTGTTCTGTGACTTTTTTTGTTTTGTTTTATGTTTTTATTGATTTTTTTTTGGAGAGAGAGGAAGGGAGAGGGAGAGATAGAAACATGGATGAGTAATTGGCTGCCTCCTGCACGCCCCCCTACTGGGGATCGAACCCACAACCTGGGCATGTGCCCTGACTGGGAATCGAACCAGTGACCTCTTGGTACATGGGACAATGCTCAACCAACTGAGCCACACCTACTGGGTTGTTCTCTGACTCTTGATGGCCAAGGTGTTCCGTGTCTTCAGGGCGTTTGGTAGAAACTCACTCAGCTCTGCCCAGGGAGGGGCTGGCCTGGACCACACCTCTGTCCAGGCCATGATGTCCAGAGACCACAAGCTGCCCTCACAGTATCACCGAGGCCTGGCTGGTAGCCGGGACCTCAGCTGACCTTTCCCTTAGTTAGTACCCCGTTTGCCACTCATCTCTGTAACACAGGGTGACTGCGGGATGGGGGGGGGCAATGGGTGGACCTCTACCCCGCCTTGGGCCCTAGCACCTAGGACCAGAGAACTTCTAAGACCACTGCTCCCTTCTTCCGCAGAACCCGGGCAGGACAACCAGATGGTCATCATCATCACAGTCGTGTCAGTGCTGCTGTTCCTGTTTGTGACATCCGTCTTGCTGTGCTTTGTCTTCGGCCAGCAGTGGCACCAGAGGCGAAGAGGCAACTACGGGGTGCAGGCAGCTTGGAGTAGACTGAGGCGGGTCTACCGGGCATAGCCTGCACAAGGGGTGCGGCCACCCCCGTGGCAGCCACTGGGACTCAGTGTGGCTCCTCAGGGATGTGGTCCAGCCCTGGCTGAAGGACAATGACAAGCTGCAGAGACTTTGAGGACACTTCCTTTTCTAGTCTGAATATAATCACCTTGACCTAACCCTGTGCCTCAATGTCTCCTCCTGGGAGAGTGAGACAATAGCTGGGAAGGTGACTCATCAGGCGTAGACTTCTCTTCCTAGATGTCTCCTCAGCGTCCCTCCACCCTCTCCTTCACAGGGGCCCTCCGGGCCGGGCCAGCCCCAGGATGTGCCCGTGCTGACCAGCCCAGGACCAGGCACCCACCCTCATCAGCCCGAGGGAGGGTTGGGAGTACCCTGCCTGGTGGGGCAGAGACGCTCTGTTCCTGCAGGCCCTTGGCAACTCAGCCACTCCCTGTTGGGGCAAGGCTTGGGGCCAACAGAGCCAGCTTCCGGAGGTAAGGGTGGGGGCCCCAAGGGAACTAGCTGGCTCAGCTCCAGGACCCTCCCAGGCTTCTCTTGCCTGCTGCTCCATTATTGGGCCAAACTGAGGCCCCGTAGCCCTGGCCTTGCCAGAGAGGGGGGTGCAGGACAGAGGTCTAGGGAGGGCTCTGGTCCCAGCCTCCCTGGGCCTGGGCAGGAAACAGTGGGGCAGAGTTGGGTTTCCTTGTGGCTCCCAGGCTTTGAACAATGGTCTAATGAGCTCTTACTCCAGAAAAGAGATCCGGCTGGTTCAAGGACTTAGTGGGATGGAGAGGAGACTGATTCACCCCAGAGGGGAGGGCCTGGTTGGGGGTGAGGCAGAGAAGGGCTACCAGGTGTGGCTTCAAGCTCTAGAGGGGCACTTGGGGCTCCAGGGCTGTTTCCAGCCCTGTGGTGAAGCTGGCGCGGGTCCCTGGGCCAGCATCTGTCTTCATGGTAGGCTCTCAGCATCATAGTAATCTGGGGGGGAGGGGAGAGCACCCTCATCTTGATTCCCTCCTGCCTCAGTGAACCCTGAGGCGGGAAAGGGAAGGGGACAGGCCAATTGCCTGGAGTGATGACGGTAGTGGTCCCCCCTCAAGGGAACATGACCCTGTTGGTCTCCTGACCCATCCCTCGGCCTGGGCCCTGCTACCCACCCACCCTGCCCCTACCTGAAGCCGGGGGTACATCCGCACCCACAGTCCCTGTGGCACTGGGGGGTGGGGGTGGGGGCACAGCTCTCCTGAGATGGGGATGAAAACAGAAATGCCCCCATCAGAAATGGTGTCTGGGGTTTTACCCACAACGATCACCCCACTCCCAACCCCAAGACCGCTCTTCCAGCCCAGCCAGAGCAGGGCCCTGGCAGTGCCCAGACCTCTGCCTCACTTACGCCCCCCTTTTCCTGAAGGCAGGAGGGTGCCGCTGAATCCTGGATGCATCCTGCAAGTGGGGCTGATGTGGGGGAGGGGGGAGGAAAGGTGAGGGCCAGGGTGACAGGGGGCCCAGGGCGGGCATCGGGCAGGGCAGGTAGTGGTGGTGGACCACCAATGGCCCTTCCTCCTGGGCTTCGAGCTCCTCCTCCTCACACTCTTCCTCTGGACCCTCCAGGGGGACCTGGGGATAGCGGGGAGATGGTGATACAGGATCAGGCTCTCCCTGCCCCCACTCCTCCGTTCCTCTAAATTATTTTTCCAGATATGTATCATCAAATGCCTACTGTTGATTGATACTACAGTGCAAGCAAGGCACTTTGGAGACATGTATCCCTTATTTTGCAGGTGGGAAAACTGAGACTCAAAGAGCTTGAGCAACTTGTCTAGGGTCACCCAGCTAATAAGAGGCTGGGCAGAGACTGGACAAATCTAGGTTTGACTCCCAAGCTGGGGTGGGAGTCCAGCAAGCTGCCCCCGGCCTGTCCCCAGGCCCTGTAGCCACTCATCCCAGGGCCCCTTGAGAGCTCTGCCAGCCTGGATGGTGGACACAGCCCTCACTCCAATCACCAAAATCCCACTTGGTTTTCAAGGGCCGGTTCTAAGGCCACCTGCTCCTCCAAGGAGACTTTCCTCATTCCCCACCAGGCGAGCATGCAGGCAGGGCTCCTCTTCTGTGCCAGTCACAGCCAAAGTTCCCTGGTATCCACAGTCATTCATTTATTCATTCACTTGTTTAACAAACATCAGTGGAGCCCCTAAGTACCAGGCACACGGCAGGCCCAGGGTACAATGGCACCTGTCCTCCTGGGCCTGCAGTCCAGTGAGGGGCACACTGCAGGGACACCACCTTGAAAACAAGACCTGGGTGGTCTGGATTTAGGGACCCCCACCCCCAACCCAAGGCAGCTGGCACAAGGCCTGGCACAAAATAGATGCCAAACAGACTCAGCCAGATAGGTGCAGGCTGGCTTCCTGCTCCTTTCACCTAATCCTTTCTCTCAAGGGGATACCCTAGATGGATCCCTACCCCTGGACCTGCAGGTGGGCGGTCCCAGTAGCCCATGACCCCCATCCCCAGCCCTCACACCTGCAGGCCAGAAAAGGCTGGCCAGGGATTGAGAGCTCCAGCCACCAGGCGACTCAGGATCAGCTGGTGCATCTGTGCGTTCTGCAGCAGCATCAGCTCCAGCAGGTCTAGGGGGCCAGTGCAGGAGGTTCAGCAGGCACACCAGCCCCCCACCTCCAGCCCTCTGCCCCCACCCCAGGGCCTTTTTCAGACACCCAGCCCCAGGGCGGATGCAGAAGGAGGTGGTGATGCATCAGTGCCAACACCCAGAGCTGGGGGGAGGGGTCCAAGGGGGGAGAGAGAGCCCTGAGTCTCACCTTCCTTCACATGGCCTGGTTGCCTGGGTGGTGGTGGGATGGCCCACGGGAGGGGCTGCAGGAGGGTCACCCAGGGCTGGGGGAAAGGGGTGACTCAGCCAGGCTAAGCAGAGAAGGGATTGGAGGGTCCAACTTCCCTCCCCATTCCCCTCCCAGAGTTGCCTCCTTAACCTCACCTTGCAGGGGCCTTGAACTCCCCCTCAGAGCCTCTCTGGGCCTCCCGGCTCCCTGCAAAGTCTCTTCCTCTCCAGCGGGGATTGCTCTCCTCCTACCACCCCCTCCACAGT